GGGGGGGGGTGGAATTTATCATCGCCTAGAGCAGCTTTTAGAACTGTGCCATCCTTGGTTCAAGATCAACAAGGTAATGCCTGAACTAGGGGATCCTTTTGAGCAACAGCAAGTAAATAGTGTATATACCAAAATGGAAGATAACTCCCTACCAAAGAACATGTTTGCATGTAAAATGCAGTTCATTTCATACAGTTACTACAGATAACAATAAATATTTTAAAATTTTGAATAAATTTGATGCTAAATCAAGGTGAAGTTTTTGTATAGGTATCAGATTTTCTTCATAAATGGTGATAAAACGCCAAAACAGGAAGCACTAATTCAGGGGAAAATATGTTATTTATATGGGGCTTTTCCGGGGACCAGATAAAATATGAGAAAATCTTAGACCAATGAATCTTATATTTGGTTTCTGTGGTTTGTGCAATCAAAATAACAGCATGTGTTTGAAAGGTACCAGGTTTGAGGAGATTAAATATTGTGACAGTTGTTTGTATTTTCTTCTGTTTCACCAGGATATTAACTTGTTGCTGTTGCAAGAATTGGATTCTGAGCAGAAAGCTTAAATAGCCTTGTAGAAGTTTTTGTAGTTTTCTGTCCAGAACATTGTCTTATTTCCCTTCTTCTCATTTTCTGTGTTCGTTTTAACATTGCCAGTCCTAATCATGTGAAATATTTTAACAAACCAGAAAATAAAATATGCTTTTTATTAGGAGTCCAATTTTAGTCTTGAATTGTTTCTTTCCCAAATAATTATGGAGAATACTCCATATTAGCAAAGAATTAATGCTATTTGTTTTAGTATGGTGAAGCGCATTTTCGTTTCTTGATATTGTTATTCAAGTCACAAACTTTGGATCTAGCAGATGAGGAAGGGCTGTTGTTTTGTAATATTTATTTATTTTCTTGTGTATTGAATTACTTGATAAAAATGACATGCTAAACTTGTTTCAGTTCTTTTGTTGTGGGTGAGCTGATTTGCCAACATTTCCATGAAATTGGCCATCTTTTTCTTAAGGTGAATGACTATAAACAGGGGCCTGGTGTTGATATTCTGGGTTATGAAGTAACATGAGAAAAGTGACTTTGAAGAAGGACCAAAAATCATATTTGGTTTCTCCATTATGCACACATTCACCTGTCAGCATACAATATTCCCCCACAACTTCACAGCATACAAATGTCAGCGTCAGGTTGCAGATCAGTCATTTTGCCTCAAAGAGGGCTTGAGACAGCCAGGTTCTCTGAACTATCAGCAAACTCACCACAGCAAGTGTCATCATCCTAGAATGAAACACATTTGACTACAAATTTCCATAAAAACCTGAAGAAGACTGTAGAATAATATAATACTTTTCCAACAGGAGATCTGTGATACTCACGAACTGCTATTGAAATATCAGCACCTCATTGCTCCTGATCCTTCAGACCCACTGCATGAGCTGCTCAAGGACCTGGGTCCAGTACCTTCTATAGGAACATTTCTTGGAAGTATGTGCTTGCATATAAGATTGAAAATTTAGATTTGACTGAAGTTTGTATTATTAAAATGTATTTAGTACTATCTTCTGATATTTTACCTCTGAAAAGTTAGCTGTATTTGCACCCATCAGAAATATTTCTGTTAGCCATGCACACCAAACTGACTAATCATGGTGCCTGTAATTGGGCTAGTCAGTCAGATCAGAGGTGCCAGCATAAGTTAAAACCTGAAGGGAAAGTTAACTGACAAGCACTAGAACTGGTGGGGCAGCATTATAATAAGTTAATTTCAGTATTATCAAGCTACTTTCAAACTTTGGGATCCATAATGGCCATGTCATTACTAACAAAAATTGGAAAGTTATGTAAATCATTTATAAAGTAATTTTAATCTGAAACATAGAAGTCTGTAGCATCAGGTTTTGACTTATATGTATTGTAGATTGAGCCAGTTGTATGTGGAAATTCAAGGCTCAAGGATGTATTTTTCACAATTGCAGTGCATGCTTACTGTTGAACATAACATCGCATTCTTATTTAGCGTACCAGACTGACTTTTTGTAAATTCATGATTTTTCTGTACCAGCTAAAATCAACAGTATTTTGTTTAATAAAATGCTTCTGTGATACATGAAGTGAATATGACAGGAAGTGTTCTAGTTTACCTTCAGTGCTGATGAAAAAGAGGAAGTATTTATGAAGCTTTACATTCAAGAACAAAATGGATGATTATTTCTGAGCATGTAATTTTTGTATGAGTATTCTCCTGATTGTGTCTGCACAAGGTTATGTTTGAGCAGGAAGACTGTTTTAATAAATTTAGGACATTATGTCGTGTGCTTGGCCTATATTTGGTACTAAATGGAAATTTCTAACAGATGTTATATTAAAAAGAAATCCAGTGGACAAAACCCTGTGAACGTCTTTAAATACAAATTACATAGATGGGTGGACTTCACATGGTTCTTGCTGACTGCTCTGAAGCCAACTGGCGTTTTAACCAGTTGGCATTAGAAAGGTTGTTCTAGAGTTAACACTCTAGAGCTGTATTCAGGTGTTGTTTGACTGAAATCTATTTTGTGAACAAGTATGTCATACCTTGAGTAGGTAAATTTATGGAAGAAAAGTCTTGTGTATATATGTTTGAATATCTTACTGGCATACAAGTACCAGAAGTGTGTTGAAAATAGCATCTAGGAACTGACTGATGATGACACACCTTTGTTCCCATAATAGTATGTTTTTCATAAGTAGTTAATTCATTATATATGAATCATAAATGACTTGAAAATATTAAAGGTGTAACACTTGTAGCAATAACATATAACTGTGTTATATTCTTCCAGAACCCCCTTGTCCCTGCAGATACTATATCATATCAGTATATACATATATACCCACAGTTTTTTGTCCCGATGAGGTCATTGGATTTTTTTCAGTTGACCTAATCCTTCCAGCCGCACTATGGCCCTGGGATCGACTCAGCCTCTAACAGAAATGAGTATCAGGAATATTCTTGGAATATTGTTAGGGGTAAAGGGTGGCTGGCACATAGGGCTGACAACCTTGCTGCCATCTATGAGCCAACTGTCTAGAAAATGTGGGAACCTCAATATCTCACAACCCTATGGGCCTNTTTTACTTACCCACAGTTTTTGACATTTGACTGTGTCATTGTTCTGTTGTTAACAGATGGAAGGGATGCTGCTGTCCCAAAGACAGAAGTGTGTCTCACACTTGTCAACAAGTTTGAAGTGCCTGAGAATGATCATCAGGGTATTAACAAGCTGTTCATCAAGTAAGTGCTCTATGGTAGTTCTGGTGCAAAATACTTTTATTGAGGACTCCATCCCCTGTTCCTCTTCGCTTGAAGTGAAATACTGTACACAGATTGTCTTGCTATTTATTATACTGTTTGCTCATTCACTAGTGTTAGACACTGTTTAATGATAAAGCCCTCAGTGCAATCCAACATGTCGTGCGTGTCAGCCCACACTTTGTACACCATGCCTGCAAAACCTGTATAAAATAATTTTTACCTTTTCCCTGGCAATTGCATGATGGAACAAGCACTGAAGCAATTCCGCCCATTTTCTGGCAATCTATGAAAGAAAAATTACCACCACTTCCATACTCCCAAGTGACCCTGTCATAAATCCTTATTATCAGTGGTACTTCTTTGCTGGGATTAAAATAACTTTGTAAGTGATTGCCAGTGTGTATTGTTACAGGGATGCTTTCTAGTTAATGACCTGAAGATGGGCAGGCACTAGCAGAGACCTAGTTCTGATATTTTCATTACCAATCTTACAGTTGGTTTACTATGCACAAGATCTTACCAGAGTTTAAATCTCTGTAGTGTGAAACACAACACATGGTGAAAACGGTCCTTAGCATTTAGTATTTTAGGAATTTTGTACTGGGAAAAGAAAATGGCTTCTCAATTCTGTGGTAATAAAAATAAATTGAACATTTGTGAATAATTTTAATGAAAAATTGAAGAATAAATATTTCCTCATCAGTATTAGTAACATGTGTGTGTTTAATTTGCATTGCCAGTTTAGTTTTTAGCAAGAAATATGACACTGAATGACATTTTATGATCATGCATGAAGACTACATAAGTAATTATCCTGACAACAGAAAATACTTAGAAACAAAGTTGTGATTTGAAACATGTTTTACAGTCATGTCAAGCAGTATTTCCTAAATCTAAGCCTATTAACAAAATCAAAGTGATTACCATTGTATAAAATCACATATCTTGGCTAAGAAGAAGACTCCTTGAAGATGGTGATGTGATTAAAAAACGTTTAGTTGTGTAAGGGATTAATTATTTAATTTATTTAAAAATAAAACTGAAATTTGTAATGTTATTAAGGGAGTCCAGTCTCTAGAAGAGTGGGATGTATTTCCAGTGACACTGAACAACTGAGGAAAGATCTTAAAATTTGTGAATTTTTTAGCTGTCAGCTAGATGAGTCAACTGATATCTGTGATTTTTCCCTACTACTTTTTATTTGGATGGTCTTCAGTGATGGCAATATTAAGGAGGAGATGTCGACAGCTATATTGTTACATGAGAAGACCGGAGGTGAAGAGACATTTCAAAGCTCTTATGACAGCCTTCTGAAAATTAAAGTTTGGTAACATTGGCATATCAGCGTTTCAGAGTTGTGTTGTTATTGATCTATGGCAATCTCTTTCTGAGTGTATTTTGGTGTGCTGTCATGAGAATGTCAGAACTTGAATTAGAGCAATAGATGAAAGTTGAATTTCTTGTTAAAGTTGTCAAGAGTGTAAGCGAAATCAGAGAGATGTTAGTGCAAGTTTACGAGGATAATGCTATGAAGAAAACAGCAGGTTACCTTATAGTACTTGGACATATTGGTTAGTCCTGATATAATCCCATTGTTCAAGGCTCCATTTCAAGAAACTCTGCTTTTAGCACTTACTCCTCATTGGCGGGACTGATGGTCTAAGAAGACTTCACTGCATACCTGCACTATTTATTATTTGTGAACAACAGGATTATGAATTATTGCGGTTACTTCCTGATTTGCTTTGTAATGGCGTAGTTGTAGTTGCAATAACCGAACATCAATATCATGAAGAATGTATTTTGAAAATATAAAAATATATGTATATCTTTCTAGTCTTGTTAGCTTTATAATGAACATGTTGCTGTAATAGTGTTCTCAACTGAGATTTGACTTGTTTCCGAAAATTGACAATGGCTGCTTGTATGCTACTTATCAGGGCAAAAGAGCTGCTGGTGTCGATATTTCCATGCCTTCAAGGGGTCGGCACCTTACATGAAGCATTGTTGGTGGAGTCAGAAGCAGAGGAGCGCCTATTCCAGCAGCTACTGCATAAACACCAGCAGAGAAATATTCACAACTTAGCAGCTTCCAAATCATGGTACTAAGTCACATGTAGAATTAAGTTAGGTGAAGAAAACTGTTTTGGATCCTGAAGATTCAACACCTGCCATTGGAAATGATCTTGAGCTAAGTTTATACTCTTCGCAAGCTGCCTCCCCAAGGTTTATCTTAAAATCATTGCTGCAATACCCAAGCTTCCAAGAGACATTCTGGAGGTATATACAGAAGACAAAGTAATGTGTATTAGCATGACAGAACATTGACAAGTAATAAAATACTTTCATATACTGATGAGTTTTTTAAAAAGGTGATTATTCAGGTTGTGCTCTTCTGTGTTGTGATGGCACAGCATTGTGAACATGAAAGCAGTCCTAAGAATGGTTCTTCTTCCTTTTTACCATTTCTCTTCACTTGGACCAGGTTCTGTCTCCTCCTTTCATGGGTCCAGTTGACCGTCTTGTTATCAGCCTATATAACTGAACTTATCTATGATACTTCATCCCTGAAGTTGGAGGTAACATGTTCCTCCAAAATATTGGTAGCTACCTAGAAGACTATACGGTGTCACCATCCAGAAGACCACACTCTGAAAAACATTTACAAATTAACACTGACAAATGGAAGTGTGGTTGAGGATGAAAATAATAAGTTCTGTAGATCCTTGTTATATATTACAAAGCTGATATCTCATTTGCTTTCCAAATACCAAACATCTAGATCAGCATCAAAACATCAAGCAAGTTGGCTCAAGATGTAGCGTTTCTGACGTGCATTTGGAAGGTGCTCAGTTTGAATCTCAATTGGATCACCAGCTACCCTGATGAATATTTTTCATGGTTCCTCAGTCTTTCCAAGCAAACACCAGTATAGTGCCATAAATTAGGCCATGACCACTTCTGTCCACATCTTTTCGAATTCTGTATTCACCATTAACCAATCATTCTGCACTGTATTGTCTGAGTTACAATGTCATTAGATACACTGCAAATAAATAAATAAATGAAAGAGTGCCAAAATTAATTTCAGCGCTCATTTTGTAAGGTTGCGAAATAGAGTGTTGTGATAATTTGAGAACAGAAATTACACATGTTTTAAAACAGAGTGTTTAGAAAAATATTTGGGTCTACAAGGGATTTCATTTATATGGGACATTGTTAAAATATTGAGGAATCTGTGGTGGGTCAGACATATAGCTAAGATGGGGATGCCAAGATATACATACACAATTTAGTAAGGAATCACCATCAGAGGATGCCATTTGGAAGACAAGGAAGAGATGGAAGGATAATCTTAAAATATACATATGTTATAAAGATCTTTTTAAAGCAGAAGGTTGTTGTAAATTAGTTAGCATCATGTCTAGTGATGTGCTTTCATTTTCATATTATCAGTGTTGAATGTTCAGGTTCTACGGTCAGAAAGTGTATGTTGCTTGTGATTACCTTATTGCACTATGTGTAAGCTAATTTCCTTGTCTTTATATTTGCAGTAAATCTCTCCAGGACTGCAAACTGATCCTGAGAGATTACCTTACAAAACTAGAGCTGGCAGGCTTAGTTTCTTCTGTTGATGGATATCAGAGCATTGTTTCAGCCATTGCAAAAGACATCTGCAGCAAGCGAAGGCATAGGGAACTTCAAAGAAAGGTAATGTGTTATGTTTCCATTACTTTGGTTGAGATGGATGCAAAGAAAAGCATCAGCGAGCGCAATGTTATCAGAGACTGCCATATAATCTGGACACAAATCATTCACTAGTAATGTAAGAAGTTATGTTACATTGCAATCTATTGGTGATGTATGGCGGTAAAGTTCCAACATTTATTGTATATTTTCTGATCTTCGTTATATACTAAAATAGTCCCCCTTCAAATGGGATAAATTTTAAAAATCTTAAATAAAAGTAAAAATCTTTAGAATCTGTGTATTTACATAAAAATTGGAGACTATGCTTAAATTGTAAATGGATAAGAATTTCTAGAAAGAATTGGGGATGGATTTCTGTAGTTCTTTTGACATTAAGAGGCTAACATTTGTAAAGCAGAATGCAGATAAAAAACTTTTAGAAGTGAAATTACTAACATCTGTGAGTTAGCTGGTCAGCCTTTAGAATCTCTGCCTATTACTGCATGTCTGAAAGCTATCTGAAAACTTTATAGACAAAGAAATTTCTAGCAAGTGTTGGAGACAGCCTCATTTAGTTTGATCTAATGGGCTAACATTTGTGAAGCAGACATTTAAGACAAACTTTCTGACTTTGGCAGTTAAATTACTGCACACATGTTAGCCAGTAAATCACTAGGAGTTGTGAAAATGCTTAATGTGCTTAACCAGATTAACTTATATAATCTGTGTAGCCACATCCATATGTTCAAAATCACATCATACAGCCCTCCAAATCCAAAATTAATAACCTGCATAACAATTCTGAACTTAATATTATGTAATAAACTACTGTGACAGTCATTGGTGTGATCATATACAGTGTAAAGAACAATACAATTTGCTTTCCCGACCAAGTCTGTGTATCACTCACCATGAAGACTGCATTGCATCCTACAGTTACTCTCAATAAGAACACAATATGAGAATAGAATCAAATGCTTTCCATGAGCAAACATACAAATTCCGTATATCAGAGACTGAATGGGACCTAAACAGTGATATCATCCAGGATCTCCTTTGGCACCCACATCCTGAATAATCAGTCCCGCAGTACCTTACCTGTCAATATGACCTTTCTTGATTGTGATATTGTGTAATCTGGAGACCAACTGTAAGTGGCCATGCAATGTCTGTGCAGTTGTGGCTATTATATTAAACCACCTACATAACACATCACAGAAAAAACTGGCCATAAGAAGCAGCACCACAAGATTTTCACCCATTCCCCAATCAAACGGCTGCACAGCATGGCTATGTTCTTACTGTGTTCTTCCACCAATACGTTGAGTGATACTATATCCTTATTAAACAATGTAAAACTAAATTCTGGCCAGAACTGGGCCACCCCATGAAAATTTTCTCTAAATTGGTAGACCATTACTTATGTCCCCTTGTCAAGAAACAATTGCATCGAAACCCAAACAAAATTTTACATGCAGTTCACATACATGAAAGTCCGTGACAGCACACTCTTAAACCTGGATACACCATAAGGTGTTTACATTAAAGACTCTTTTGAGATAAAATTGCTATAACATTCATTTTTGTTTTCATTCAGGAGCTGCAAGAACTCAGACTCACAAAACAGAATTTGGAGAAGAAAACGAAATTTTATGAAGAACAGATTAATTACTACAATCAGTACATACAGAAGTGTCTTGAAAACCTTAATACTGGAAAGAGGTAAACACAGTGCATGTGTGAAATTGTGGTATTTCTTTCTTTAAATACATATTTTATTGAATTCATTATGATCAATACATATTCACGAATTTATTTGATGTCAGCATACACATCATCATTTTTGCAGACCTATGAAATCATCGTGTATATATGTTGGTATGCACACATGTTCCTGCTCCCATGTGTGTCCATTCGACTTCTGAATGAATTGGTCACTTTACATGAAATTTATGAACATGCAAATTGTTATAGTGAGTTCACTGATTGCACCACTCTTAAAAAGACTTGCAGATATCCTGTGTCTTGAACTTGATAAATGCTGCTCAGATGAGGAAAAGGTCGAAATGTAGGGCAGGTATATCACTACCTCTTCAAGAAATGCATCCTGTTGTGTTATCCTACATACCATAACCAGTTTGTTAGGTTTCCATCCCAACACAACTATCAAAATCTCATTCACATTTACTGTGTGTAATGAGTTTACTGGTCTTAATAGTATGCCAGTGTGCTACGTGTTTCAGCTTCTTTCTGACCAGCACTTTAATGAGACCGTAACATAAGGGGTAATCTTCTGTGATTAGAACTGTGAATGCCCATTTCGCTGGTGTAGTTTTTGGCGTGGTTACATTATTGACAAAGAGTTCTGCTTTTGTTGATCAGGCACAGTAGTCCATCGCATGTTCACATCATGTCTGAGTGCTCTGGCGTGGTCAAGATCATGTTCCCTGATTTGCACATCTTCATTTGTTTTGATGTCCTGAGCACCCAGAATCATTAACTGATATCACTACATTTCTGAATTTGGAAATCTCAATCAGATGTTTGAGTTTTGCTCATTGTTTCCTCCATAAAAGCATCTTCAATATCTTGTTAGGCTTCTGCAGCAGCTTCGTCCAATCTGAAGCAGAGGTTGATGCATGTGCATTGTTCTTTGAAATCTGCTGTTTTCTTATAAATTGCAAATCAGATGGCACAACACACAATTTCACTTGAGAAGCCACTATTTCTGAGTGACAGACAACTTTGAAAAGAACAGCAAATGACTTCAGATTCTACTATACCGCTTCTTAGCACAAGAGTTTTGTTCTTGCCACACTAATATCACATTGCTGTAAGTCCAGAAAGTAACTGACTACATCACATAGATCTTTATTTACATCTGATGGATGAGCTTTGGTGTTATGGCTAGCACTCCCTCTTTGTATTTTGGAGGCTCTCAACCTCAGACCGGCTAGCACCTCCCCTCACCTCCAAGGTCCAGCAGGCTGAGATGTTACCTTAAAATAGGCCACAGTCTTTCATTTATCATGCAGAATATTATTTGATGCTGCATAAGCAGAGTAATTAAAAAGATGTCATGAAACAAACCATGAATTTTAAGATTTGAGGTTTTCACGGTAGTGACTATGATGAAAGCAGTCTTCTGGGATGTGGCAACATGTAGATATAGAGGTAACCAACGTTTCGGTTTCATCAAACCACGAATTCATTGTCAGGAATGTGACTCCCTCAAAGGACAAACTAATCCGTACTTATTCCCCACATAACTTACATTTTCTCTTTCAGACACTTCAATATCTGTCATATGAAGTTCATTGTCCACATAATACTAATTTCTGCACTGATGATTCTGTGCTTCACCAGGAATGTTCATATTCGTAAGTCATCAGGGAAGCAACCAGAGAAATTGAAGTCAAAGTTAACACTGCATTATACAGCAGCCAAGCTACATGAGAAGGGTGTGCTGTTGGAAGTAGATGGTCTTCCTATGACTCAATTCAGAAATGTCCAGTTTGAAATAACACCATCAGATCACAATGGTGTATTTATTATCAGTGGAAAATTCATGGGAGTTGAACTGGAGAAGGTTGAAATTGATATACAGGTAAGTTGAAAACAATTATATAAAGTTTTGAATTTATTATTTCTTAATAGTGTAGTTTTTACTTCTTCCTACTCACAACCCCCAAAACTGAGTAACACATATTTAATTGTCATTGGAAAAATAGGGAGTCACCTTATATTCAAGCTCATATGGTTCTTCGCATCATTTTGTGGGTGCAAAGAATGCTGCCAATGTATTGCAGGATCTGTCACAGTCAGAATTTAGTTAACTTTTAAAACATGTTACTAGGGCACAGAGAGAAAATGACATTTCTCAGTGGTAAGTCCAGGAATGGCAATTTTCATGGGAAAATAGTCCGTGTGTATTATTTCATACTTTCTGTTCTTTTGCATGATGGATGACGTGAATGAATGAATGAAATGAAGGCGGTAGATGTTGATGTAAAATACAAAGCAAGTAGGGAAATAGCGTGGGCAGGATGATATTGTTTACAGTGTAGTTTGTCAAGAATTGTTTTGTCTGCAGCATGACCTTGCAGCCATATGAAGTGACGGCCAAGACACTGCCATGCAAAGAATATAATGGGTCAGATGTGAAGAGTTTAAGTTGAATAATAACCTGTCATTATGAAATGAAGGTGGTAGATGTTGATGTAAAATACAAAGCAAGTAGGGAAATGGCGTGGGCAGGATGATATTGTTTACAGTGTAGTTTGTCAAGAATTGTTTTGTCTGCAGCATGACCTTGCAGCCATATAAAGTGACGGCCAAGACACTGCCATGCAAAGAATATAATGGGTCAGATGTGAAGAGTTTAAGTTGAATAATAACCTGTCATTATCATCTATAATGAAATTTGAACTGTGCATTTAGTGAATTATGATATACTAAAAAGAAGCCTCCATTCTGTCGATGATTCCAGAACTTAGAACTTATACTTCAATTTATTATAGTACAATTGCCATTGAAACATCAGGCAACATTCATTTTGAAGACTTGNAGTTGAATAATAACCTGTCATTATCATCTATAATGAAATCTGAACTGTGCATTTAGTGAATATTTTCTCTGGTCTGAACCAAAGCCCAGTATTATTTTCAACAGTTAGTGAATTATGATATACTAAAAAGAAGCCTCCATTCTGTCAATGATTCCAGAACTTAGAACTTATACTTCAATTTATTATAGTACAATTGCCATTGAAACATCAGGCAACCTTCATTTTGAAGACTTGTATCTTCTTGGTATAATGCCATGCACTCTGGCGAAAGCCAGCCAAGGAACATCTCACTGCTTGCTTCAGGGCCAAATAGCAGGCCAAGCAAAAAACTAGCCTGAAGCAAGCAGCAACCTTGACCTACCCTGAAGCTGGAGCAATATATTTTTCTGAAACATCAGTCAAGTTTTACTGGACAACACAAAATTATGTCACAGATTACAGAACTCCTTCATAGTCATCGTGAGAACCTCAAACCCAACAGTATTAATGTTTTCTGTCTGCTGGAAGTTGTAACAACTATAATTGTTTGGAAGTGACATCACATGCTGAACACACCAAAACTGCCACATGTGCATCATATTTGCTTTCCTTCTTGAACTACCTGTCTACAGAAATTGTTTTATCATGATCATGTCTCATAAGGTGAACAGTTTCTTGATTTTATTTTATGTAACTCTCATTTAAATTAAAGAAAAGCCTTTTCCCTAGAGATTCAGTAAACACAGATGTCACACTTAGGATTACTGGGTTGCCTGGTGATTGAGGTTAGCTCTTTCCAATCAACCCAACAGAGTAGG